TATATATATATATATATATATATATATACATATATGTATATATATATATATGTATATATAATATGCTTTAAGATTTAAATTCCTGTAAGTAAAAAATACAATCGGAAAAGTTCCTCACAAAATTCCGGTTTACATCTTGTAATTGATCCGATCACACATTACATACTCTCGTCTTAATTGATAAATGATAGCAATACAGATATAAAAGTATGAAGAAAAGGATACACAATGTCGAATCTCGTTCTGCCGAATTGTAATTATCTGTCTTTTCACCTGGCAAGGACACCATCCACCCTATCTCTTAATCCTGATCATCTTCAACTGGACAGTAACTTTCTGGAATGGGGCTTATTGGATCCGGTTATGGGGCTTCTGGAATGGGGCTTAGATTCACTTAGCGATAATTGGGTCCGGTTAGGTTTTAACTGGAGGGGTGACATTTTCATATGTCATACAATTCTTTTTCGGTTGTTAGGGTTATACAATGATGCCACTATTTGCATATGATGTCTTAATTGAAATGATTTTAGGTAAGATAGAAGGTCAGGTGGAAAGAAGGTCATCATCCTACACATGGTCTCATCCATTATGTGGCATCAATTTTTGAGGTATGTTGGCCATATCGATTTTTTTTCATTAGTATTCTTTCTCTCATTTATTTTTATTTTTTACTTAAATTGTGATCCATATAAATCGGCAGATTTACTTCCTTTTTTTTCCGTTTTCGATAATTCAAATATCATCATTAATCATTATCTATTTAATTCAATCATAGCATAATGTGTGACATCATATATTTCGCATTACGTGTTACCATGACTATACTGTCTACAAAAAGTTGATATTTTTGATCAGCTAAGTGCCGAATATTTTCACTAACTTTATATTTTTCGAAAAAAATAATATACTGAGTAGGCTAAAGTATTTGTGAAATCCTCTTGGCCTATTGAAGATATGGACAAGACCAACTGATAGCTAAAAACATCAATTAGTAACTGAAAATATGAGCTAGATCTTTGCCTATTGAATGCATACGTTGAAATGATTGTTTATCAGAAGCGATGATTAAACTCATTATCAGTATATTTCAACATATGATTAATTTGCTATATAGATTGAAAAGGAAAGCTTGAAGTTAATCTTTTGATTTGAGAACTATTGCATTTATCTTCAAAATTTTGAAATAAATAATGAGCATTTTCAGGCAATATTTAAATCAAGAACATGTAATCCAGAAGGTATGCAATTTAATTATAAAGGCAAAATACATTTGAATGGCTTAATCCATCTATCTTATCCTAATCACTTCTGTATTTTTATGCGTTATGAACTATTTCTTATAAATGATTTAATTTATGAAGTGCTGTAACTGTTCAACCATTCGCCTTATCTATCTTTCTAGCTATATAAAATGATAAGATTCAACGGTTTGATTGTTAAAAAATCCTCAAGTAGCCGTCAGTATTGATATGTAAAATTATTAAAGGAGTTAACTTCTTAATATATGTGAAGTATTCCTCGTTGTATATCTTGCGAAGAATTTCCAGAATATATTATCAAATTGGAATGCAAAAGGAGTATGAGAAAGGTAGTATACCTCTAAAGTAGCAATTCATTCATTTAATTAGAAAAGAACGTGAATCGATGCAGTAAGACTAAGTAGAACTTAATAGAAAGGTGGTTTACTTTAACTTCCTATTCGTTCCGATCTTTTTGCATTTCACTTCATTTTCCATTGCAGTTAGCAGATTCAAAGATAATTCGTTCAACAGCACGGTTTTTCGTCTCAACAATATATGGTATGCGTATGTCGATCTTTCGGGATTTTTGGAAACGAATTGAATTTTTCTCGAAGAAATTTGGTGAAGAATTCAAAAAATCATTGACACAGAAGAAGTAATTTTTATTTGCACATGTACAATGTAGAATACAAATTATGCCATATTATTCACAAACTATATAAATTGTATAAAACTACAAACATTACAAATCACTACAACTTTCACAGTACCATTGCTGCTTTTTTGTGATTTTTTGCAAGTATATGTCGTTTCTTCATTTCTCAGTACCATCGTATCACTAAGTTGAAGTTTATACAATGCGTCTTACAAACATATATCACAGTAGTTCACTTTGCTTATGAAATGTAAAACAGCTTATAATTATATCATTCATGAACTGAATCTGATGATAGTAGTAATATTAATATTAACAATATTAACAATATTAGTAATATTAGTATTAGTAGGAATATTATCACTTAATTCTTCAGCAATTTCAATATCACTTATTGATATAGTTTGATTATTCAACAATTTGTCAGTTTCGTATGATACATATTTTATAAATTTTTCCCACAAATTGCTAAAAAATAACTGTTATCAAAATATTGAGATATGCAAATGTGCTAACAAAATTTAATGCCTTCTTGAGATATTAGATTTTGATGCATAGTTACAGAAAGAATACATTCTTTAGTACATTTGAAAAGATTGTTCATAAAATTAGACAAATGGTTTTCTTTTTCTTTTTGTGCAATATTTAGAGAATGGAAAAGGAAAGATGAAATCGATAAATTATTGTCTCTTCCAGGATGAAGTAACTTCCATCTTACGACAGTATCACTTTTCTCAATAATTTATTTCTGTTAATATTATACAATTTCCGGTTTATCTAGTTTTCAAGCTTAAGAATTTTAAGTCGAATTAGGAAATATAAGGCAACAAATAACAAATAGCATTGGCAAAAGATTGCACTTTCATGATACATGAGAAAGAAATTTCGTCTAACTCTAAATGAAATATGATGCATTTGGGTAATAAAACCCTTTTAGTAAGTGACTTGAAGTTGACACATATGACATCTAACTTAGATTGATGTCATTTCGTCCTGTAATTTTGCGAAATTAACAATTTTCGTAAACTTTTTTTTCGGAGAAAGTTCAAGAGGTTAGTTTAAAAAAAGTGTTAAAGTGACTCAACGCTAGCTAAGTAATTGGGCTCTGAGGGTCGTTTGATATCATGTGTATCAACAAATTTTGTTCGGAGTTTTTGTTGTAAGGAGGGATTTGGTCGTTTGGATGATACTGGAAATGAAGATGTAATGGAATCGGATGAAGCTGCTAACATGGGTAAGGAAGTATCGCAACTTGTTGGTTTGACAGTTTTGGTAGGTATCGATGAGAAGTGAAGTGATGTAAATCTGGTGCTAAGTATATTTGAGCTAAGTGTAGCTTTGGATTTTTGTGATTCCAGCGGTGCTACGACTTGTGACAACGAACGTGAACGCAAATGTGTAACGTTTGCAACATGAGAAACAGTTGATGATGGCCTACGAATTTGCCATGAGATCCGATTCGTTACATTCTTTTCTTGCGCGGAATTTGCTACAAAATGAACTATACATTATGTATTGGTTTCACTAACCGGAAGGAAAACAAACTTTCTGGCGAATTTCCAGTCATTTCTGGTAACAAGAACACAAGGCATTGTTTGAATTTTGAATAATAATTGAATTAATAAAAATTGATGTAAGAAAGCGAGACAAAAGTATAGGAAGAAAAAGTTCAAACGTACATGCTACATTCTTTCCTGAGGAAGATACACTGTGTACTGTCAAAGGCGTTATTGAAAAAGCATTCGGATTAGAGCAATGCATTACCTGAAAGAATATCAGTGATTATAGATTGCAATGATCGTATCCTGAACTGTCGTTTACGTCATCCATATCTGAACATTTTATAAGTCTTTCGGAATAATAATGATTAAGTTTTATATAAAGGTCAGTGATGAAATTATCGGTTGATAGAAAATCATCCCGTGTAAACTTGAATGGTGAAATGATAGAGCAGAATGGCTTATAAGAAATGCTTTTCAAAACAGGAATGATGAATATTCCGTATAGCATATACTTGCGTCGAAGTAATTCCGAATTGAACGAACTTTTTTTTTTAAATGTGTCACTAAATATTGCTTTGATATCAGTATAATAATAAATTTATATCTAAATTTGAATTCTTCAGGTTCAGAATAATTTTTCTCTGAATTTCAAGTAATTCTGGATGATGCTGCTGTTCTGTTCTGACTTGACCGATACTCTTTACCTGAACAAGTTGGGGTAAAGCTGGCGTATTGGATGGATCTTGGACTTCGGAATGTCCAGCATATGGAAATATAGATTCAGATCCGGTTAATGAATGCACATCGACGCTTAACATATCACCATCCCTTGGTGATTGATGAATGCTTTCCCTATGTGTATCATTTGGTGTACGTCGACCCAACGATACATAGTACCCAAAAGCCTGAAATCAAGCCTAT